TTAAAAACTTAAACCTAGAAATACCAGGTTCTAAGAGTTGAAACCTAAGAATTAGAAAAAAATTAAAAACTAGAACCCAAGCAACGCCAGGTCCTACGTGCTAGTTTTAATTTAAAAACTCTTGTTTCCAAATCTGGTCTATTAGCAGATTTTTGCTTTAGTAAAAGTTCAGATATAATCTTAGGCTATTTTAGATTATATATCACTGTTATAAACAGATTAGGTTTCTAAATTCTCTAACAATTGCTATAGAATCTTGGTACAATTGTTGTAAATATCTTGTGAATTCAGTAAAGCTTGATGACAAAATAATCTTTTTGCCAACTTCATTAAGATTGGCATCTTTATTAGAAATCATATTTTGTAATCCTTAATAATGCCAACTTAAATTATTTGTTTCCCACTTTATATACTGATCTACTATATATTGTTGAAACAATCTGCTTGAAAGATACAGAATACTATTATTTTTGTTTGAGTTTCTAACTATAAATCTATAAGCTACAAACTTCTTAATTGTTACTGTTTTTCTTTTTTTTTGGTTTGGTTGAATTTTGATAGTCCCTCTATATCACCATTATCACTATCATCACTATCATCTTATTACTATTATTTTTATAAGATAGTCTTTTGGATTCAGAAATTTCATCTTTATCAAATTCAACTTTTTTGCTTTTAGATACTAATTTTTTTTATTACAAAATTATAAAGATTATTATTATCTTCTGCTTGAGCTTGAACTTCTTTTGTTTCTTTTCTAGTTCTTTTTTTCTCTTGCTTTACAGAAGATTTACTTTCTAAATATTCTTTATCACCTGCATTAATAGTATCATCATCAAAACTCATTATGCTTGATGAATTCCTAATAGTTGCAAATTTTAAAACACTTGTTAATTCTGGTTTACTTTGTAGATTCAAGTTCCTAATTTTTTGCTAATTCTTAGGTCTCAATATTATTAACTCTTAGATCTTAACATTATTAGCTCTTATAACCCAGTTATTGCTCAATTTCAAGTTTTTAATTTTTTACTAATTTTTAGGCCTTAATAAAATTGGCTTTTAAATTATATTTATTCTTAGAACCCAGTCATTAACCAAATTTAAGTTTTTAATTTTTTACTAATTCTTAGGCCTCAATATTATTAGCTCTTAAAACCTAATTGTTGTCTGGATTTGAGTTTTTAATTTTTTGCTAATTCTTAAGTTTCAATGATATTAACTCTCAGGCTTAAATTATATTAGCTTTTAGAATCTAG